ATTTATTTATTTATTTTTATAAAATTAATAATTTTAATAATAAAAAATAAAAATATTTTAAAAAATACATTTATTTGTTTTAAACATATTCTTATTAGTCATTTAATATTAAACAACAATCGCCAACTATTGTATAGCTAAACAGTTATATTTATTGAATCCGTTATTTACCATCCGCTACTTAATTTCTGCTATTCGTCATCTACTAACCGCCGTCCACTACCCGCTACCCGCTACCCGCTACCCGCTACCGCTATCTGCTATCTGCTATCCACTATCAACTATCTGTTGAATTTTAACCGCTGTACCAAACAGACCCTTAAAGTAAGAAAAAATTATTTGGTTTATCTTAAAAAATAAAAAGCATTAATTAATTTAAAATAAATTTAAATAAAAAATGATAATTATTTTAGAATAAAAATATGTAATATTATAATTATAATATTGTCATGTAATTATACCTCCCTTATACTAATAATAGAAAACATAAAAAATATTATGACAATAGAATAAATAATTAAAATTAAAAAGGTAAAAATAAAATTAAAAAAAGAAAGAAAATAATTTTTAATTAATTCGTTCGGACTCGGGTTTCCCGGTTTGTTCTGGCGTTGAAGGATCAGGTGGCCACCAGATGCTAAGCCGTGTGCTGAAGACTGATTTTTAATTTTCATTTTGTGCCACCGCATGAGAGATGCATCTGCGAGTCCCTCTCAAGTCTTTTACTTGACCCATCAAAAAGTCAGGCGCCTTCGCCCAGCGCCTGGTGAGATTCATTGCGAAGAGCCGAGCTCATTTTTTTTGGGCCAATCGGGCTCGGGCTCAGGTTCAGGTCTGCAATGTTCAGCCTCAGCCTGTATTACAATAAAATGAACCCAAAACCAGATTATCCAACAGGAAGAATGTTGCTAAATACTACATTTTGTTATTAAATTTTCTTAGTACTTATAAATTTGACTCTTTTTTTTTTTAATATCAAAGGTTAACTAATTAGTATCATAATGATTTGAATTTTTGAATTTAAATTTTAATTAAAGTTTTTAAATTAAAAGGTACTAGCTTGCCTTATCTTTTATTGGCAACAATTCATCTATCTTGTTACAACTTTATTTTCTCAAAAAAGTAATCAACTAAAATGACTATTTTAATTTTGCCGTGTAAATTGAAAGAATAATGATTAATATATATTTCAATTCAACACACTGTATAACATATTTATTAAAAAATTATTATTTTTTAATTTAAAATTAAAAATAGATAAATTTAAAAATATAATTATACACATAAAATAGAAGAACTAACTAAATCGATTGTACTTATATTATATTTTTTATGATTGAAGCAAAAATATGTCAAAATATGTGT